ATAAAAAAGGCAGTCCTACATAGTCTGTAGTGAAGAACAAAAACCATTAACATTATGTGATTATTGTCCTTGAATCTAAGTTCAAGGGACATGCTCTCAATCTCATTCTGTCCTTTCAACATACATGCCTAGCTCAATCCCTTGAGAGCAACATGGAGGTTGGGCTACACATAATCCCTGTTATGTAGACATAGGAACATAACCAATTAGAGGTGCATTCGGAAACAGATGCACAAGGATGCTCAGAAGGTAATATGGATCATCATGCAGAAGACAGATAGATACCTGGAATGTATAGATATGGGTTGGGTAGATATATTTGGGGGGAGTGGTGAATATCAAATTCTTTTCCTTCTACTCCCAAATTAAGAACCAACTGATAGACACAAAGATAAAAGTATCAATTTATAACTATTAAAAATTGTTTTGGAAAATAGGAAGTAGGAAGGTTGTCATTAATTGGTTTCTTGATGGTCCTGTTTAGCTGTATGCATGTATAAATGCCTCTATCACATGAAAGGAGAGAGAGAATTCAAATTATTTTACCAAAAGTCCTTCCCCATGGAAATAGTATGAGAGTGAAATGGAGGACAGTGATTCCCCCTTCCCCTGCAAGAGAAAAATACAATATACAGATGATTAAGGACATTATCTCTTTGCCTATTTTCCTTCCTTCCCCTCCTTCCACGTTATCCAGTGGAACCCACATCATACACACATATTGCCTAGTGCTCTGTCACCGAGGCACACCTCCAGCTTTCTATGTAGGGTTTTGTTTTACTTTTATTTATTTATTTATCTATTTTACATCCTGGCCACAGTTTCCCCTCCCTCTTCTCCTCCCAGTTTTGAGGTAGAAAGTGTAGAGGTCACTGTAGCCTCTCGAAAGGTCCTTGGTACAGAAGGAGACTAGAGACTAGTACTGTTATGAGGAAAATTGTATTCAAACATTAGATTATAACAGGAAGTTTTAAAAGAGCTTATAGTGGGTAGCCATTCCAGCTTGGATCTGGAAGTTCCAACCCCCATTGAGACTCTGGCAACTGTCACGCCTACGAGGCGGGGCGAGGGGAGGCGCCTGGAGACCCGAGAGCTGGATGGGCCAGTGCTCTCTCTGTGCGCTCTCTCTGTGCCGGGATGCTGAACTGTGCAGAGCTCTGGAGAACACCGCTGGACTGGACTGCGATACACCTTCCCCAGACCCTGCGACCTACCTTTCACTTAATTTGTGAGTTACGCCATTAAATAAATATCCTTTTAACTACGTGGAGTGGCCAAAATAATTTCTCCAATAAGAGCTCACAGGGCCACTATTTTAGTCTTCTTCCTTTTCAAAAGGTAAACTGATGAATAAAGTTTCAATGAAGAAAAGAGGACTTTAATATGTGTATTTATGTTATTTCACATATGCATACAATGCATTTTGAGTATTTCATTCCCACCTCCTCCTAATTACTCAGGAATCCATTCCCAACTCAATTTTGTGTCTTCTTTAGGTCCCATTAGGTCCAATTTGTGCTGTCCATGGGGCCAATCACTGGAGCACAGTCAGCCTGCCAGGGGCCACACACTTAAAGAAAATTAACTTTCCTTCCCCCAGGCAGTCATCACGAATCAACAGCTCCTCAGTTAGAGAAAGGGGCTAGATCCCCTCCTAACCTCCATGCTGTACAGGTCTTATGCAGGTAAAAGGGGTGGAAACCTTTAACCTGGCCTCTTCCACTGTTCCATTTTAGATCCTTTGTTGTCCTCCTTGACTTTTAAATATTAGCATAATACTTTAAATATGTTATTCTTTTTAATATTGTGCATGCATGTGAGTGCAGGTGTCCATAATGGCCAGAGGTGTGGGATCTCCCTGGAGATAGAGTTACAGGTGGTTCTAAGCTGCCAGACATGGGTGCTGGGAACCAAACTTAGATCCTCTGCAAGAGTGTTAAGCATTGTTAGCACCGAGCCATGTCTTCAACCCCTAGCATAATATTTTTAATTATTAGATGATACAGGATTCCACATAAATCCCTTTTTCTTCTTATTTTAATTTTTCCAGGTGAGGTAGCTTTAATTACAAGCCAAATGTGTTATTACCAGACACCACTCCTCTGTTGATATGCACTTTTCTGTTTCTACCTGCATATTAGAGTTTCCACTTTTTTTTTGTTGTTGTTGTTTTTTTCTTCAAGACACGGTTTCTCTGTGTAGCTTTGTGCCTTTCCTGGAACTCACTTTGTAGCCCAGGCTGGCCTCGAACTTACAGAGATTCACTTGCCTTTGCCTCCTGAGTGCTGGGGTTAAAGGTGTGTGCCACCACTGCCCTGCTCCACTTTTTTTATACACAGGCAATTTAACAAAGAGTGAAGTCATCTGTGTTATGATTCCAGTGTGTGTGCAAGAATACATGTGAATTGTGTGTGTGTGTGTGTGTGTGCATATAATGTTCAGAGCCTGGCTAGGAAGTAATCACAGAGTTTTTAAATTACAGAGGAATCTAAGAAATTAAGTAGCTCAACCCTTACAATCTGATAGAAGAGAAAAGTGACTTGGTTAATACTACACTGGTAACTAATGGTATAATCAGCTTCAAGAGTTCAGTTTTCTCATGTCGGGCATGGTGGTACATATTTGCTCTTCCAGCACTGGAGAACTGTGAGTTCAAGTCCAGCCCTCTACCATACAGTAAGAGTCTATTTAAAAAAATAAGTAAAAATGAAAGAGCATTGTTTTTTTTCCCAGCAAAGCAGAAAGATGTCTGTATTATATGCACAAGATGTGTACTGTTGCTGTGTTGTTTATGCAAAGAACGAAGCAATCCATCTTCTTCTCCTTTAGTGTTGAAAAGGAGAAGCTGAAGAGCCCAACAGCACTGTGGAGTACAGCTTGGAAGGAAAATAGTTTGGTTCAAGGCTAGCTCAGGGCCTTGTTTCATGTTAAGGTCAAGAGGATTACTTTTTTTCTTTTCCAAAGTGTTTTCATATGTATTATTTCATCTTAGTCTTTCAGTAGGTCTTGGAGGCAGGAAAGTCAGAACTTATTAGCAAAAGTTTACAGATGAAGAAAAGAAGACTTCGAAGACTTGGCTCAGTGATTTGTTCAAGGCCACCTCTCTAATTAGTGACAAGGCCAGGGCTCAGAAGCATGTCTCCTGTTTACAAATACCTTCAAGTCTTAGACACAAAATTCTAGTAGTCCTTGGGCAGTGATCAGACATCCTTGCAAACTGAACTTTACAGATTTCTAAATGCTACCATTGCGATCCACTGAGTTGCACAAGGTTAATTCAGTGTAATGCGTGATGAGAATGATTGTCTAGCATTCTTAAAAGGTCCTGGGTTCAATCCCCAGCACTGTAAGCGTGCATGTGCACACGTATCAACAAGTTGTTTCAATTCCTAGCATCAAAAACATTAACAGTAAAAGAGGGGTGAAGGGATGTATCTAATGCTTGTCATGAACAAGGCCCCAGGTTCTAGCCTTAGTGCTAAACATTTTTTAAAGGGATCAGCAAATTGAGATGGCATTTTCTGATTTCTAGTAACATGATCGAGGTGTTTTTGTTAGGTCTGTCTAATGTTTGAGCTTGGCTTCTTATGTGGATCATCTCTAAGGACATAAGCAGATTATAAACATCTAAATGACCACTGTGAGAAATTCCCTTGGCATGCTGGGGCATAGGGCAGGCAGCAGGATGTTTAAGGAGCAGCGAGGAAGTGGGAGCAGAGAATGGACACCTGAATTGTAGAAAGCTTTCCAATGGAAGGAAGGGGCCAGATAGTGTTTGCCTGTTATGAGGAAGAAATTGCATAGGAAATGGGAAAAGACACTCAAAAGCAAGACAAAGTAAGAATGTCCTGTTGATTCAGAATCGACTTGTCAACACTTTCCCTCCCAGTGTGAAGCCCTTTACACAGCGACTTCCCACTTGTGGCTGCAAAGAAAACACCCTCTGAGAGGGGAGATAAACTGCTTAGGTCAGGGCTGAGATATCAGCATCAGATGAAGTAGTACCGCATTCATCTTTCAGAACTGTTACTGTAGCTGTTCGGCCTATTCTAAAGGCCGGAGAACAAGCTCAACTAAGAACAGATGATTGGATACGTTTCAGGCCCTGGGTAAAAGCTGATTCTCTCAAAAGGCACAGCATTAATTAGCCAGCTTATCAATGGATGCTCTTTCTTATGTGCTTGTTTTCTGCTAGTCACAACTTTGCCGATCCTTGGCTTGGTCATTTCTGTGGGGCAAGTGCAAGGCAGTGCCAGGAGTCCTGGATGACTGGAACAATCACCCACCATACTCCCATAGACACCAGCAGGGAGTTAGCTTGTAGCTGAGCAGGAGCAGGGACATCCTTAGTGTTCCTTTATTTAAACTATGCTCCTAGGCAATGTTCCATAATGACTCCACACAACTAGTGTGTACATGGAGCAGCCTACACCCACAACCCCAACTATATTCCTTGGTCCTGAGTGTACTTAACTTTCCACCCCTGTAGGCAAGGTCCACAGGTTAGCACCCTCGTAACCCCCCTCCCCCGCTCCAGGACCTGGGTCTCAGGACCTTCTGAAGAAACCGACACTCAAGACGGACATGAAGGCACTAATGAGAAAAGTGCACTCGGCCACGAGGGCCATGCACACTGACTTTCACCTCGGTTTGCTTGGACTGAAGGAGGGGCGGGTAGCTCCGTGGTAAAGAGGAGGACCAAAGAGGGGGCCTACTTGAATGAAACAATGTAACAATTGATGTGAGGCCTCGCCTTGCTCCCACTCCTCAGCGATCCTATAGGCGAGGTCCCAGTGACTGCCCCTCCCCATTGCTCCGTTTTCTTGTCCATTAAGCACCATCCCTCCGCCTCTCTTTCCTTCTTTTCTTTTTTCCCCCTTCTCCTTCCCCCACCCTCCCCCTCTCTCCAGCTCCGTGTCATTTCCTCCTAGGGCTCACTAGCTGCCTGAGCGTCTCCAGCCGGGAAAGTAGGCGGAGCGGGGCGGCGCGGCGCTGGAGGACGATGGTGGCGGAGCTGCTGGGGGCGGAGGCTCCGTAGCCCCCGCGGAAAAGGAGCCCGGCGGCGCCTGCCCAGCCGAGCCGAGGATGGAGAGCCGGCCGGGGTCCTTCCAGTACGTCCCGGTGCAGCTGCAAGGGGGGGCGCCCTGGGGCTTCACCCTGAAGGGGGGCTTGGAGCACTGCGAGCCGCTCACGGTGTCGAAGGTAAGGAGCGGTGGCTCGCTCCTCCCGGCGGCGTCCAACTTTGAATGGGCTAGCGGGTGCGCAGAGTGCGCGGGTGCGGGCCTCAGCCCCACTTTCGCGACCTGGCCAGCCGGAGCCCCCGAGGGGGCTGCAGCCACCCCGAGGGGGTCGTGCGGCCGGGAGCAGGCTGCAGCTCAAGTGTGCCTGGGCGATGGGATCCGAACCACCCGGCCCTGCCGGAGCTTTGCGCGCAGTCACACTCGCGGGGCACCGGGGCAGCCCCGCTCCCCCCACGACGAGGAGGCCACTCACCTCGGTGTGGGCTGCAGGAAATGGCGGCTGCTGGGGGTTCTCCTTGCCTCGGAGGCCCCTGCGCCCCGCAGGACAGCGAGGGGCTGAGGGCTGGGGCGGCGGGGCTCGGCGCTGGCTCTCTCTGCTCTCCCCGGGGCTGTCCCGCCTGAGGCAGGTTGCTGGGCTAAGGGTCTGGCGCAGAGCTGGGGTGGGGGGGGATGAGGCATTGCTGGCTTTTCTGTTTCTCGTCCCACAGCCGGACGCTCAGACGCCCGTTCAGCGCCGGGGCGTTGCTGCTGCTGCTGCCGGTTTCCCTCGGCCTTTCCCTCCCTCCCGAGTACTGCCCCGCGCCGGCGAGATTTCTTGCACGCTGAGAAATGTGGAGGGAACTTTTGTGCCATGGAGCACAGCTGTGCTGAAGCGGCCACTAGGGTTGCTTTGATTTAGGAGTCTGTGATCAGCTGGAACTAAGTTACAGCTAGAGGCCAGGGGAGAGAAGCACTCCCAAGAGTTCGGGAACCTCCAAACCCAGGCATCTTGAGTGGGAGTGAGGGTGGAGGATGGGGGCAATGGGGGCTGTTACTGGAAGAGTGACTTGTAAGATGGCTCACCTTGAAGCACGAGATTGCCAGGTGGAGGGACTTCCTGAACTTTGGCCCATTTTTTTTCTTGTTGTTTTCGTTTCCCTTACACACTCCGATAGCTCCCTAGCTCTTCCAAACCACTCAGACTGCAGTTGAGATCCTAGATGGCGGTTTTGGCGGGAGGTGGGAAGATGTAGCTTTTTTTTTTTTTTAAAGGTAACAAATGTGGCTATAGGGATTCCTTTTTTTCCGTGTTGTTAACATAGCAGCTGGGCCTGGGAATTACTCCCCCGCCCCCCTCCATGATAACCCATGTTGCTTTCTCCCTGCATTGGAATGGCTCACTAGCTAACTTCTGTGGTTGTTCTTCAGGTGTTGGAGGAAATGCTGAAGTGTTACTCATGTGTGAACTAGTCAGCTCTGGCTTTCTGAGGTGTATTCAGGCAACATTTTGGAGGTATTGGCAGGGATCTCGAGAGGATCTTTAGCCTCCTCAAACCAGGCGATCTTCATCCAGTATTTCTAACCAGACTGAGACAGATGCCTTTGTGATCCACCCTCACATCCCTCCCACTAAGACTTCCCTCGGTGTTCTCTGGAGCAAACTACTACTTTTTTTTCTCTCGTTTAAACAAAACTACCATCAAACAGCCTCATTGGAGAAGGGTATCCGAGCCTTGAAGAATGTCTTCTAATCAAACTCCTCCTCTTCCCCTCTCTTTCCACCAAGGTCACAGTGGGATAGGCAGCCCTCAGTCGTCTGGCAGTTCCTCCCTTTCTTTTCCTCCTCGGGCCGCCCACAGAATTTCCAGTCTGCCTAGACAACCTGCCCCGGAGAGGTCATTTTTCTGCTTTGTCCAGGCTGACCCAACCTGCCAGGCACCTCCGAGAGTGCTTGTTGCTGTGGTCCTGAACTATTTTGTGAGCCCATAGGAGCATGGCAGGGGGTGTTACTAAGTATGGGGCAGCCAGCAATTTGTGGTCTGGCTTGGGGATTATTTGAGGATAGATGAGGGTTTTCTTGGCCACACTGTTGAGGAAGTGCCTCGTGTGCGGAGAGGCAGGGTGCCTTTTAATGATTCCCTTTCTGCTGAATGTACACTTGGCCCCTATTATATGAAGGTTCATTATTACATGCACGGATATGCAGGAGGTAAAATCAGTTTACTCATTCCTCTCAAACAGCCTAGCTCCTTAGAGTAAAGCCAGGTATAACTGGGTTAGCCAGGATGTTACATAAAGGGGGTATTTTTTTTTCAGTATGATATTTGCCTGCTTCTTTTTTTTCCTTAGCAAGATACGTTTCATTAATCCCATTTTCATTTTTTCTCATTTCAGCCTTTTTCTACTTTAGTGCATGTCTTTTTCATTTCATGAGACATTTCATTAATCTCACTTTTTTCTACTTTAGTGCATTTCCTTTTACACTTCAGAATAATACAGCTTTCTCCCCACAAGGCTACATCCACTGGTGAGTTGGGGCTAGAAATAGAATTGATTTGGTAAGTGAAAAATATCTGGATTCGAACCCTTGCCTTGGCATTCTTTGTTCTGGAATCCTGGGAATACCACTTGCCTTTCCTGGGTCTAAAGTGAATTTGAAGTGGGCAGTCTTTAGATGACACTCTGATGGTTTGGTGGTGAACCCATTGGCATAGCCCTGCCACTCTTCACCAGAACTGCTGTATGGTGAGTATGGAGGATGGCTGTTTCATTTGCATCTGATGCTACTCAGCATAGTGTGCTTCTTATCCCTTACGTCATCAGCCCATCACAACCTCACTGTGAGACAGTCAGAGAAGGTTGCAGAGCATCTGATAGAAAAACTGACTCTCGATTCTTCTGGGAGCACCACATGTTGCAAGAAACATTGCCTGTTAACTTCCAGGGGTATATCTAGTCTTCTCAGCCTCTAACTCCAGTAATGTTTTCCATGCCATGAAGTCTTCCCTGATGATTGTATTTTATGTATACACTAATGAAGTCTGGGATCTAGGAGGTGGGGAAAGACTGGTAACTGAATAATTTAGGCTTGTGAAAGACAGAAGAGCCAAGAGCCATGATTCAAAATGACAGCAGATCTCCTTTGGTGCTGGGGAAATATAAAAGTAGTTTGGGGTTGGAATGATGTGTTGCACCTGCTTGGGAAAGGTAGAGACAGAAAGGAGGAGATGGAGACATTTGAGAAAAGGTGATTGATAGCAGGAGAAGGCATGGAATATGAGAGATTACTTTCCATTTGTCATGGACAGACCTTTAGATTAGGAAATGATCAGGTTGAGAAAATCATTAGTGGAACTAGCTGTTATGGTTTCCCAGATGTGTAGAATGCAGCTGCCTGATTTATGGGGGCTTGTAGAGCTATCTGTTGATAATCAAGTGGCAAGAATAAGACAGTAAGTTGAAGCCCATTCTATTGATTATGGCAAGTTTATGATTTTCCATATGCTATGGTAGTACTACTGAAGCCATGATAAATGAAAGAAGATGAATAGGGAGTGGTCCTGGGAACTTAACATTGTTTGCCTAGCTTCTCAAACTAGACCAGGGAGGGTGTTGTGGAATGGGATGGGGGTTCTCTTCTAATCAGGTGTGTCTGTTTTACTGTGTAAGGATTCTTATCTACAGTATAGACAGTCATCCATGAAGTTGATATCCTGCATTTGGAAAATGATTGTTTGGGGGGATAAGTGAACTTTGCAAAGTCTGGCACCAATGAATCTGTATCATATAGGACTTCTTAGAAGCCTCAGAGACTCAAGCAGTATCCTTCCTGTGTGTGGGTATGGGGGAATGGAAGAGATAGATAGAAGGAGGGGAAAAACTGAACTGGAGCCTAAGGTTTCTGTGTTCATTTCAAGTTCTTAGCCATGTGCCTTGAAATTAAATGAGCGTATAGAAAACAAAGGGTGGGGACCAGTGTCAGGATTCAGGGACAGGAGGAGGAAGACTAGGGTGAAAAGGACAGCCCAGAAGATTGTGCTCGCCTTACATAGTTGCTCTTTTTCTGGCCTGTTTTTTTTTTTTTGGTTGGTAGGTGTCTCAATTTGGCACAGTGAGGCAAGCAGGGCCTAGTTACTGTTCTCTAATAAAGCAGAGTGGAGTAAGAGAGGAGTCAGCGGGAGAATACCTACATAACGTACATGAGTATCCCTCTGGCATTTTACCCCGTTAGATCTAAGTCACTATTTACAGAGGGACAGTAGGCATACCTGCCTCATCTTTATTATCACAGAGGATGAGAGAATGGATATGATAAACTCTTTGCTATCCTTGACCTTGTACAAAGGCAGGGCCTGCTCTTTAAGTTCTTTGTAAGCTCCACTGCCTCCCACTCTGCCCTTATTTCTACACACACACACACACACACAAAAAAAGGGTGTTGAAACTTTAAAAGAGGTCCCAAATGACCAGATTGAAGTTTTCTTGTGACTGGAGGTAAATTTGGCTGTGACTTTGAGCTCTTGTTCATGCAGGGGTTATATGAACAATGATATACTTTTCAGATCTTTTCAGCTGTGTTACAGGTCAGACCTAGCCCCACCCCCATCAAGGGCCTGGCAGTCCCCAAGGTATCTTCACAGGGTATGGATTATAGGAGATTAATATATCCTGATTACTTATATGAATCCCTCCCTGATCTTTCCCGCCAGAGTCCACACAGCCGACTTCTGTCTTCTTCCAGAAGGGCACAGCATATGGGGGCATGGAATAGGAACCTAAGGATAGAAGAGGAAGGCAGAACAAGAAGATTGCATAGTATGTCTCATAAAGCTTGGTTAACCCTTTGCATACGTAGGCTTTTAGGCCCTGTCATATGTAACTTGCATACATAGGATTTTAGGTCTGTCATGTATACCCAGCACCCTGCTGATAACCACATGTTTGTTCCCTGAAGGAAAAGGGGCCATGCCTGTCACAGTGTTTTCCCTCTCCCAAACCCCAAAGACAATAACTCCAGCTGGAAGACACTTGAGCATTGTTCTTTAAACAGTTAAAATATTTCTCCCTTGCTTTTCCCAGATCCCTCCCCAGGAATTTCTTTAAAGAGAAAAAGAGACAGTTTTGGACAGAGACTACTAGTTATGGGGCAATTATCATGAGAGGACACGATTGTGTTTATAGTGAGGCTTCTTCCAACCAGAG